ATTTTTCGATTTAAAAAAAAAAAACAACTTTTTCTGGACACCGATTTGCCCTATTGTTGTTGTCGTTGCTGACATCTGGAGAGACAGTGATGTCGGTACTGCCCTGCTGTGTTCACAGGAAGCTGATAAAAGGGGAGAGACAGCGCAGAGGTGACAGGCACGTGCAGCAGGACTCCCACTCTCGGCCGAAGTCAAAGCCAGGTTTCCCCCTGCCCTGGGATTCACAAAACTTCTGCATCATGATATCTAAACGTCATTACCGATAGTTACTGAGGAGATGTTCCATACACAGGGCCAAGAGCATCAGAAACCTTCACGTTAGAGCTATTTTTGAATGGAATACCGGTCCAGGGTGGGCCCTTCAAGCAAGTAATCATAATCCTTTTACACTACGACCAGCAACACCTTTCTAAGACGGTGTTAGCTGTAAGGTGAAAAGATTTGAAATGCACACATTCGGTGAATCTGCAACGCAGCACGGCGGCATTTGTTTATGTTTGCTACTGGTTTGAGTATTGCGCCATATAAAAAGGTAAAATGGCAACTAGTAGTTGAAGAGATGGTAGTCAGCTTCCAGACTACTGCCCACGTGTCGATGAGGAAGGCACCGACGCCCCCAGCTCACCAGGTTTGCACAACCCTTTCACTCAGACATCTCCTTGCACGCATGCATGTTTGTGATCTGGTTCTTTGTGGAGTGTGCAACACAAATACACAGCAGAGTGCCAGTTGAATTGAAGAGGGATCCTTCTTTGAGAGGGCTGTGGAATTTCTTTCTTCCCTCTAAGATGTCAAAATAATAATGACGATGACCATCTGTCATTTGAACCACGATTGCATACCTCAGAAAGAAGGTGACTGTAGATCTGCTTTGATCTAATGGTGGGTGTTTTGTTTTTTGTTTTTTTAAATGAGTCTCTCTCACAGGTTGCCTCCAAATTATCCTCGAATTTCTGAAGATCTATTAGTTCTTGAATGTTTACAAAAAACTAAAGATACTGTTCTCACTCCAAACTTCTTATTTGCAATCTAAACAATCCGACACCCTTTTTTGTGAATGTTTTATGTAAACCTTTTGGAAACGTTGATCAGGTGCAACCTTTGCTCAAGGTGGTATAAAGGTTGAATCAAGGAACTTTTCCTAATTATTTAGAGAACTCGAATGATCTATCCTCCAAGAACTTCTGACTTATCTTGCATGGATAGGAAAGGTAAGGAAAGTAAAGTAGTGAACCAGGAATGAGAATTTGAAGAGGCCAAATGTCTGTAGCACAACACTGAATCGTAATTACCGAACATTGTAATTGTATATTCCATTTGGCATTACAAAACAACACTGTATTTATTACGATTTTGGTTGTTAAAGGAAAAGACCTTCAATGTACTGAAGCAACTTCTCATGAAAAAAACATGCAGGGCGGTTCACATAAAACAAAGAGGGCCATTTGAATTTTATGGGATTGACCTTGGGAGAAAGACAAGACATTTGAATGGTTGTTTAATAGTTAATTACGTAGCACTGGAGTTAAAATGCGTAGAGCCTCTTTGGAGGGCTGCTAAAATAGTGACCTTTAGTTAATAAAAGGCCTGTCAGGCTTTGTGTGCACAAGGTTCCTTCTCCAGTATTTGGACACTCTATATCACAGACTATTAATTCCTTAGTAACAGGGTGAGTTGCTTCTGGACTGGCTGAAAAATGGCCACCAAATGTTACAAAATGAACAGTTTCACCTTCAGGCCATTTTTTTTTTTCCAAGAGTGAGCAGAGACGGAGAGGTTCAGACATTAGAAGAATGTACCAAATATGTTGGTGTACTTTGCAGAACTGTATGAACCCATATTGCACAATAGAAATAGTGTACATTTTTTGCTCTGACTTGACTCTTGACGACGCTATCCGCCACAAAACTCGAGCAAACTAGCGAGTTGCCTTAGCCTACAATTTGTTTGGTCGGACTGTTAACTGAAAAAAGTATGTAAATGATGAAGGAACCAAAGAAGACAGGTATTTCCATACAGAGTGGGAAAATGACTTTTTAGAAAAAACCTTTAGGATGGTATTTTCAAAATGCATTTGCCTTGTTTGCCAATGTACTATCGCTAAAGGGAAGAAGGGAAAGGTTGAGTGGCATTTTTGGGCCGTTGATAAAACTTTTATGCCATGGGACCAACCCACACGCCCTTGGCGATCGATGTACTGTGCATCTCTGATCCTTACCATACTGTGGCCAAAGCGCTTCACAAAGCCTAACATTTACTTAATTTAAAACAATGTATTGTTCTTTTTTGTTTAAAATGGCTTATTTTAACCTGTATTCCTTGCTGGGGAAAGATTGGACTGGAATGACTGGATTGGTTATTGCTCATACAGCCGTAAATCTATCCTCGTTGGCTAGCTGGGACCAGCTGCTAGCTAGCGCGTGAGACATGTCCTCAGGGCCAACTCCCTTCGTTTGCTGTCATTGCTGAGTGAGAGGCCAGCAGAAAAGTAACGACAGAGGCACTGATACACAGCTGAGATGGGCTTTATTGACTTTAGTGCTTAACAGTTTCAATTAATGCTCAATACCTGGCTAAGTATACCCAAACCCACTTACACATTTCAGCACCATCTGGCTACAAAGCACTGCGCCTCCGCACCACGCATCTCCTCACCTACATCCACAAACATACTGAGTTTCTCATCACATTCAAGTCTGACAGCAGCAATAGTGCAAGATTTGTTGTGATTCGAGTCCAAAAATTCTCAATCACTGATCGTTTTCCCACACCAATTCCAATTCTCATGCACAGCCCAACTAACATGACATGAGCCTTGCAAATGTCCTATTTTCCAGTGAACTGACGTGGCCCGAATGAATCACCGCATACTGTCACAGATAAGAAATTAGGGCTTGGATGTAGAATGTGGAATGAGACTGATCCCATGTGATCAACAAGGAATTCACAATCTGGGCCTGCTGTTACTGTCCATCACTTAATTTGGTCTACGCTGAAGCGTTTGGGGTTTCCATTTCGCTTTTACTGCATTACAACATCTTTATTGTACCTCTTGTCAGGTCTCAACAAAGCCCCCAAAGTAACATTAACGGGAACAAACATCCCTACTGCTGCACCGTGCCAACAATAACACAAGATGTCCATGGTTGTAAAAGGTAGGTTTTTGAATCCTGCGTCTCCTATACGACTCATATACCACCAGTCTGATTTACTATCAGTGAAAGAGTGCCAGTAAATATTTCGTGAAGTGCTTATCTGACATTTGGCAAAAAATGTTTTCTCTCTCCAAATAAAAAGAAGTTAGTTATTCTGGAAAACCAAAAGCTATGGTTTGGATTTGACAGTACTGTTAACCTGGGGTTGGCTTTTCGAAACAGTTTGTGGACACCGCTGACTCACTTTAATGACAATGAACCTTGAGACTTACAGTATAGCTCTCTATGGATGAATTATCTCAGTGGCCAGGAGTCTTTTTGTACTTAAGGCCCAGACAGACATACCCGGGCCATCGAAATCTATTGTAAAGGAGAAAGCATGTAGGTAGCTCTCACACCTGCACAATAAATCCAAATTTATTCACATCCTTTCAAATTCCAAGGATGCAGCACAATTAAATGTGACCAATAGAGACATATTGGGGTACTCTTAACAACACTGAGCATCACAAAGACATACAGTCAGAACACAAACAATGGTCCTTCAGACTTGAAATGCAAACAGTGCTCCACTTATTGGACAGTTACACCCAACTCCAATCAAGTGAATGGCCCAAATGTAATTTATTTTCCCCCTATTTCAAAAAATACTCATTTGGCCCATAAGGTCATGATTTCCATGTGTAATGCTGTTTACAACACTTTATTATTCAGCATTGCACAACAAATGTCGACACCCTTTCTTTAAAGTAAAGAAGAGGTGATACAGTTAATGAAAATCACTGGCAAATAAAATCAACAATCAACGTGTGCATATTCCGTTAACCAGGATAAAAAGAAAATGAGAGAAAGGAGGGATATGAAGTATGCTGGGCACAGTGGAATTTCAACCCCAACTCTGCTCCCCCACTCCAGCCCTCACTGTAAAAGTCACTTCCATTTGTTTCCATTACTTGGGTTGAACTCACAATTATGTATTCCAAGAGGATGTGTTTTTTTTTTGCCAGGATAGAATTGTTTGTCTGATAATACAATTTATCTGTAGCTTCTTATAAAACAATGACTTCTGTCAAACTGGCATAGATCCAGTTGCATGTTTTTTTTCTAACATTGCATAAAGCTTTTCTAACATTGCATAAAGCTGTGCTTTCACTTGATCAATGCATTGCTGAATGGCAGATTATAAACAAATAAAAGACACCACAATAGTGAAATATAATATATATATTTCTAAAACACTGAAAATCCATCAAACCTGTTCTCACTACCTCCAAAGGCTAAAGTAATTCCCTGCCAGCTTGGGAGTTTTACTGAGGAAGTTTGGAAATAAACAAGGGCTGCCTTCTTTCAGTGGGGAGCACACTGTGTGTGTGTTGATTGTACCTCTCCATTGTTATGAATTGCCTTCAAGTATTTCCTAAATGAATGTTATATTTACTGGCTGAAGCACTTAAGTGTTGCCAGCCACCCGCCCAAGGTGCAAAACAAGCCACTAAAGGCATCAAAGCAGCTTGTGCTAGCTTGTCCCTTGCTTTTATTTGACTTAAATATCTGAGAAAATGAAAAAGCACCTAATTAACGACCACTTTGATAAAGGGTCTGGGGCCAAGGAAACATTTTTTAAAGCGGTTTATCTTTAATTCTTCGCAGTTATATGACAGACAGAGGCAAATAAGAATGATGTTACATTGTTCAGCGGGCTTGGCTAACAACTAAGCGACCACTGGACCACCAGAAGACCTCTGTGGCCCATAACGGGCCCCGATTCCCATATTGAGAACCATTCTTTCATAGCAGATTTTTTAAACAGCCCTAAGAGAAAATTAGACAACATTTCAACTTTACCGTTAACTCCTTTGTTGGGAACATCGTTGACGTTGAAGCCTTTGGAGCTGTAAGCAGCGCGAACATCGTTGCAGTTTTTCGACTTTTGCTCCGCCGTGGCCGACACACAAAACACGACCAGCGTGCTAAGCACACACAGCAACAGCGGCGTCTTCATGTTGTCAGTTTCAGACAAACAAACAAAAAACAAAAAACCAAACAAAAAATAAAAGATAAAATAATCTGATCGGTGAGTGCAAAAAGTTTCCAGCAGTGCTGTAATCTAAGTATGCGCTACACTAATGTTCCTCATGGAGACACGTTGGTTTCCTTCAGCTCAACAGCTTCATTGACTCAACAGAGAGGGAGCAAAATCAAAATCACCGAAAACCGCTGGAAAACACACGCTCTAACTTATTCCCTGAAACGGAGAAGGTGTTCAAGAAAAATGTCGAGTTCCAGGGTCGTCTAAAGACACGTAGAAGAGCCCAAACAAAGTTTGGAAGAGTTTAAAAAACTTTTTGCACTGCAGAGAAGAATCCCAAAAGATGGCTCATCCGTTTCGACGACAGTATTAACCACCGGCGGGGAATAAATGGCAAAGGGGTCTTATTCTTTCGGTCCTTTTCTCGCCTTCTGTCCACACGCTTGGAGGCCGTGGTTTTTGCGGGTCGGGACAGTGGACTGTATAATCGTCCTACAGCGATCCAAATGCAGGCTGGAGGCGCTGGTAGACAGTAGACACCCAGGAGAGAGGAGAAGTTCCGGGGACAAAGAGAGTGGAGAGCAGGAACACCAGGGCTGGATTCAGGAGCAGGAGTGTCTACATTTCTTTGGCTCGACCTCGCAACACTCGTGTTCGTCAGGACTACGAAAAAAAAACCCGAACTGATCAAAAAGTGAATCCCTGCAAACACCTCACGCATCAGGAAGAAACAGCAGACAACCCAAAACCTTCAATCACTCTACAGTATCACCGAAGACTCTCATTTGACTTCAGGAGTTTCTTATCTGTTCATCCAGATGGATGGGGATAATACGACAGATAACCATTGGACCAGGGGTGTTTCCTGGCTCAGAAGAGGTGCTATCTTTCTGATGGTGTCTGTGCCTGGCACCTACAACTCTGCTTTCCAGTATTTAGAGCCTCCATGTAGTTCTACATCATTCTTTCAGATTTCCTTTTCCAAAATACACTTGTTGCCACTTTACCGTGAAAAATGTGACATCTGACATCACTGAAAAACCAAAATCATGAATTGTAGACTCACTTTGGAACCCTTTTTTCCCTGCAAAATCAGATGTGCTCTGTTACAAATGAAAAAATAATGACCCGTTTGAAAATCAACAAAATGAAGCAATTGGAGGATGGGTAAAATACATGAAAATTCTCTTGTGGTATGGGGCTGGTAGTTGTTTCTGAGACCGCTTTTTATGAATAGAAATGGTAAAAAACTGTGCTTTGGTGTTTTTTAAAACGACTTCATTATCGAAAACACTAAAATGACAGCAATGTATGTGCTAATAATAATTTGTTGTTGTTGTTTTCAGGTCTATGTAAAGGAGGACCGTTGGGTGAAAGAAAGGTAAATAACAGAACTTTCCATTTTTACTTGGGTGTTGTCATGTAAAGTTAACCCTAAATGTAATAACTGTGAAAATAAGCCTTTTCTTATTCAGGGCTTTAACAGAGGCACCTTGAGGATCCCTTAAGGACAGACCTCAGGCGAAAACAAACACATTGTGTTGTGAAAGTTTATAAAGTACATGTAGCCCATTTATTTATTTCTTGAGGGAGATTTACTCACTTGAAACCGAAGGCTGCTCCTGTCCAGAGGTGTTGTTTCAGTTCAGGTTTTATTATTCAGTACATTGTAGTTTGTTTAAATTCTGTCTCATGTTCCAGGAACTGTGGAGTAAAAAATTCTCCAATGCTACTTTACACAAACACACAGATCTGGCTGACAAAGCTCTACATACTTGCGTGTTGGTCAAAATACAGGTAGAGCCATACATTTAGTCTACATTCAGTCGAAAGAAACCACTGCGCAAATGGTTCCAAACAGAAAGGGTCAAACAAAGCAAATCACAACACATCATTTACAATCATATAAAAATATCAATGGAATGTAAAATGTTACATTTTCAAGGACTTATTATTTTTCTGATTGTTATGATAATGTATTACATTTTTATTTTTAATATTTTGGAGCGGTGGGAGACCTTTGATTACTCCGTTGTGATGCCTCCAGCTGTAAATCTCTTTTTGCAGCTTGTTACTTTCGCAAAGCAAACAGATGCAGACGTTTCCAAACTCACGCAACGGTCTGAAAGACATTTTATTCAAATCCAAATTCCCCAGATTCTTCAGAGACTTCACTTACACCTTTCAACCATGAGCTTGGTCTTAAATGTTGGCTTTGGGGAATAAATTGCAGCTTGCGTTTTTGTCATTTAACAGAGTCCCTTAATTAAAATGAAAACATGCATATTAGAAAGTTATATGCCAGCTTTGAAACATGTTTAAACAAGGCTGACTTGTGGGTTGTGCGCGCGCGCGCGCGCGCGCGCGTGTGCGTGTGTGTGTGTGTGTGTGTGTGTGTGTGTGTGTGTGTCCGTGCGTGCGTGCGCACATTCATTGGTTTGGGGGTAGCACTCAGCAAAATGACATTCCTCCTTTTGTGTCCACATTCCTCAGGCGGCTGCATTCATTGCGTGTGACTGTGGCGGCTGCAGGGGAAGCCAGGGGTTGCCGAGGAGCAGGAGGAGGATGCTGGAGCTGTGCGCTTGAGAGAGCGTGGGCCCGGTGCTCTTCTTAATAGGCCAACAAAAGGTTCGAAAATGCTCCAGTGCCATGGCAATTAGACATGAATGAGCTCTGAGCGACGTGACATGTCTTGTGCCTTCCATCTGACCGAGGAATTGAATCAGCCGGCCTGGTTCAAATTGGACTGGACTGGGGATCCAACACACACGGAAGCACCTGAATCCTAATGTTATCTTAATTTTGTGCAAGGCTTGACAGTCAGTCAAGTAGCCCAACCATGAAATACATATTCTACATATTCATTAGGAGGCAGAAAACGCAACCATTTCTGATAGTCAGCACTTTGCGGCATTCCTGCTGACTAACATCAATTTGACCTGTCACTCTCATAATGCGTGCTGTTTCAACATTGCCTCAATATTACCCTAAGAAAACACATGTACTCTGCATCTCAATAGGCCCGTTTGCCCTTTCTGCGGCCATGCATTAGCATTCAGAATATAACACCCCCGACACAGCACCTTGGGTAGGCGGCTGTTCTCTCTGCAGCCAGCGTTTGCTCATCTCCTCCTAATCAGCCTCTGTTTTCCATGTAAAAAGCTGCAATACAGTTCATGAGAGAATAGCACAGCTGGAGCACAATTTCGTTTTTATCTGAATCTGCAGCACGGAGGCCCTGCAGGTGTGAAAAGTTACAGTCGAGCACCCAGACGGAGAAAAAGGATTTCCAAATGTGTTTACAGTGATGGGTGTGTTGGCCTTGTTAGGTAAGGGAGTAGCTTCATAGGTAGAAAGAAAATCAATTAAGACTAATGAACCTTTATCATTGCTGGGGGTTATATGCATCCGTCAGCTGATCAGTGTATTAGCCTCACAGTAGAAACCGGGACAAATAAACTGCTGAGTTTGAGCAACAGATATATGTACTGCAAATGAACTAGAATCAAGAAATGTGTTCACTACGTATATGAGTATTCTGCGATTGGCTGTCAACCAGAACGCTCAAATGTGAAATATTCACTGAGCCCTCATATGAGAATGACTCATAGTGAGTCATATGATGGCTCAGGCGTACCCTATGATTCGCTACTGGCATTCATACAGTCTATATTTTGTAGAAAGAATCATAAACGTGCAAGACACTTCTACTATTGTACCCAACAGTGGATCAATTGCCACATAGCTTGTTTGCCTTATATGTACCCTCGGCTGTGATTGACTGGCGATGAGTCCAGGGTATACCCCAAGGCTGGGATGTCAGCTAGGATAAGTTGCACGACTCCATGACCCTTAAGAAGATAAATAGTAGAAAACAAGACAGCAATCAGGAACCAATTGACATATACAATGCATATTATATGTTGGCCTTTTTTGCCTACCAGAAATATCATTGTGAATACAGAGATGACTTTGCATATTACACACACACATGTGAACACAGACAGATTTAAAAGGTGACATATTTTATATTTCATATACTACACTGTTTGTTCATTTTCCTCGCGCCTACTCCTCTCCGCTCAACTGGGGAAAGCCCGCTTCATTTTCTTCACAGCTGCTTTGCCACCATCATCTGTGTTTGACGCATGGTAAGTCCGCCCCTGAAATGAGTCTCAATTATTTAACAGTGGTTCAAAAATTAACCAACACATTTTCAAAAATAGTCAAATTACAAGTGGGAAGGGCAGAGTCAAATAATCATGTCTCATAACACTGAGCACCAGAATGGAATTCCAACACAGTGAGATAATCGCTGTTGTTTGCTCAGGTTGCCACCTTTAATTTGTCTGTTCTGAAGTTATCAAAATCAACATCTGATGATATGCAGTTGAGCAGATGTAAAAATGGTGCCCAAATATAAATATAAGTATTCTTAAATTAGACCCACTCATTTTGGTCATGTTTTGCTTTTAATAATGATGTCACATTGTATATCATGAACATATTGCAAATAAATAGAATGATCAATGGGTATTTATTCACATTAGACATACATTTAGATACAAGTCATTTTAAATACATTCATTGAGATTAAATGTCACTTTTCCCAATCGGCATTGGGAAATTGAGAGGAGTAGAAACCATTCGTTTGGACACATTTGCTCATGACATGTACACAATACTGTTGCAATTTTCAATTGGAGCCCAGTCTCGTCGACACGGAAAGTCATTTTGGTGGCAGCAACTTTATAGTGCAAGCCTTCACACTATACGGTTGGAGGCAGCGGCATTACATATTTAACAACCAAAAGAAATCAAAGCAAGGCTTTCATTGAGGAAAAAAAAAAACAAACATTCAAATAAAAATATTTCTAAATGCAACATACAAAAGTGCATATAAAAGCTCCCGCAAGTGAAAATGAATTGCAATGACTGTTAGACAAACATTTTGTTGCCTAGTGCTGACATTGGCAGGAAACTCCACTACAGTTCTGCTGACATCAATGACATCAATGATGTTCCTTGCCTTCACCATAGACATACGCATAGGGCTCCATTTTCTTGCCCAGCCAAGTCTAATGCGAAGCAGCTTCGATTGTGTGCATGGGTGGAGTTTATTTTCTTCTTGTATTTTTGTCGACCTAGAACAATCGGAAATTGGCGTTTGCGCCGTTGTGGGCGTGAACAAAGCTGACTTGATTCGCGCCCAATGAAAGCGGCTCCTCTCATTCCATTTAAAATCAGTGAGGGAGAAGTGCTCAGTCGTTGTCATGGTAGAAGCAGAAATAGCTGCCCTGGAGGTCATGCAAAAGATCGAAGCATGAAAAGTATGTTTATATGGAACTGCAATTAGACCCCCACCGGTGGATGATGTCAAGTATGCCAGGGTGATCACAGATCAGCCGTGTGAAATGGGCACTTTGGGAGCGCCTTCCAACCCGTGTCCGTGTGTGACCTGCTTCCAGCTTGTCTAAAGTTTAGTCTAGCTTTCAGCCACCAAATTATCAGGTACACCGAGGGCGTGTAAAAGAAAACGCCTTCGGTCCGTCAGAATGCCCAGATTGATACAGCATAGTCTGCCAAATTTCCAAACACGCTAAACTAGGTGTGCACTGGAATGAAAGATTCAGCAGTTTATACACCCAAGTGCATTTGTGTTGTCTCCGAAAATAGAGCCCACAAACACCGCATTAATAGCTGAATCATACCTCGGCGTCACCACCATATTAGCTGTGAAAAAGTGGAGCGATTGGAAAAGATTCCTCATTCATGTGTAGCTTGGAGATGTACCAGTTATTTTATAGTATATTACATTTCACAAGGGAGACTGAACAATTCCTTCAATTGTATTTGGCCAGCATATTTTAATATTGATGACTTTGAAGCTAATACTATGAATAAATAATACATAACAAATTGTTTTTTGTGATTGCCAATGTCAAATTGACATGAATCACTGAAAATAAAACTGATCAAAATCATTTACATGTAAACGTCAGTGCTCTTTACTCAGAAAACACACACATCACATCTACATCTAGACACACAGAAATATTGAATATTAATGTTCATCATTGCAGTGACAGTATGATATACATGGCTACCTGTAAACACTCGTAAAAACAATAGAAAAATACATACGTTGGTTTGGTGCCATTCAGCGCTCAAGGCAAATGTACTGTAATGATGTGTAGACATTTCTGGCCTTCAGTGTAGCAGGAAACACATCAATCTCTTAAAGGGCCAGTGCACCGTACACGTGGCTTCTCCAATTTGACAAAATTTGAATGTTCGCCTTTGTTAAACAACAGGGTATTTTAAATGGTCATAATTATTTACAAAGTTGTCAATGTGTGAATTGTCATCAAAATTAAATGGGGACATGCTATCAAGAACACCTAGCCATCTTCAAACATCCAAGTAGATATACCGAACTGCGGGCAAACACACAGTCATTTAATAAAAAATAAATAAATAAATAAATAAAAAGCAACATTTCCCATGTAAATATTTCCATACAATTCCATCTTGACACCTTGTCAAATACGGTAATATATTTTCCAGAAGTTTTTTACAGTCCACCCTGTGGCCTATCAAATTTGTTAATATTGAAAATGTTCATATTTTGTAAGCATAGAACCAACACAGAAAAACTGACACAGTACAGTTTGTAGCCGGACACATACTGTACATATACGCTCAGGCCTTGACTACCTTTGTAATGGGCCGGCAAGAGCAACCAGTCCGAAATTATTTGGCTATGTCTAGGACATAAACAACAACACCAGAGAACTACATGAGAAATTTTTGTGGCATTGGGAGATTGTGTGGGTTTTTACCTGTCAAGGCAGGGAGGAGGTGGGGTTTATTCATTTCCATGGGTCTAGTGCTTGCAAGGCAGTAATTCAGTGCGGGCAAGGACAGGGAGCATTTGAGAAAAAAAAATGTCCACATGCCTCCCATTTCCACTTGCCGGTCAATGACAGTGCTCAGTACTAAGCGGTGACTTCGATGTCAGACTCAGAGTGGAGATGCTGCAATACTCTCAGTCGTTAATAATGGGAGATGCAGAGAGAACGGGTTCCTTACTTCCATAATAGTAAAAGTTTCTCAGTTGTGCTTTCAAAACAAGAGAATTGAGCATTGTCTGATGCTCATGCTTTGTTCAGTCTTTTTCGGAACCACGTCTCTGAAACAATCATGTTTAAAAGAGTTTCTTTTGTTCTACAGAGTTTGTGGTGCGTTCAAGTGAGTGCACAGGGCAGATGGTCAGTGGTGACACAGAAGAAGGAAACACAGACCGACAGAGACCATCAGGACCAGATAGACGCTCTCCAGGGCAGTCCCAGGCGAAGGGATGTGTCCAACTCCAGCTGTGGCCAACCGAGGTGTCAGAAGCTGCTCCTGGAAGGTGAAATCATCCATTGCCAGGTTGTCGGCGAGGTCTGAGAGGTAAGTAGATGAAAAATAGGGATAGGGCAGAGCAGATGGGTGGGTGAAGGTAGGGAATGAAAGAATGAAAAATATATGAGAGGAAGGAAAAGATGCGAAGGATGAAGACATTTAGACCCGACATTGTCACAAAGCTGAAAAACATGTGTGGTATGTCAGGCCTCCTGTATGATGCCTTGCACAGCTGTAATAACAATGCTAAACTAGGAGATTGACAAAAAGCCGAGCACACTGTATGCGTAATTGCAGACACAAACTGCATTGCAAAGCATTTTTCACTGCAAGTGTTGAATTGTGAAGCAAAGTGGTGAGATGATAGGAACCCTAAACGGTTGCCTTATGCCAAGCTTCAAAAGTGTTCTGTCTTTTTCACGGATTGAGGAACTGTCTGGGAAGAGTTGTTTTTTCACAGTTGCATATTTTGATCGACATATTTATATCAGTTTGCAAAATGAATCACACAACATAATTGAGAGAAAACAAACACCACTTCACAGTTTTCATGAGACTGTTTTGAACTGTGTGCTAGTGGTGTTTTGGAGTCAGCGAAATGGATTGATAAAGAGGACATCACGCATGCTCATAGTTTCTTTCCAAAGGGCCATGTTCACTTTGACATTACATGCACATTGCAGCATTTTCAATCATTGTTACGCATCTATATGGACAGGAAGCACTCTATGACAACATTATCATCAGTGCAAAAAACAAAATCAAAATGCGCAGGAAGTATGTTCATGTTTCTACTAGAATGTTGTCCTTTAACAGCGCCCTTCCTCCTGTCCCCTCACATCTTAAGCAAAACTCTTCGGGCCAAATTGAGAAAATGCAAACCTCAAATTAAGCAAATAGAGGACACTGAAGCGAAAGTGGAAGAAACAGAGAGACAGCAACATATTTAACATTTTCAGGTTATCATTAATAACTAGCGACTCCATTTTTACTTCATAACAACCACAACTAGAGTAATTACACATATTGCAGCCAGCCCAACTCAGGATTCAGGCAATTCTCACTATGCAACAAGTGCTACTTGTCCCAGGTGTTACTACTCCACAATGGGAGTGGTGTTTGACTCTATTTCGAGTAACTAAAAGCTGTATTTAATGTATGATTTATATTTCTTAACCATACATTACTCCTCTGCTCCTGTACCACACTTCTCCTTGTCCATCTGTTGCGCATGCTGCAGGGATTTAGTCACCTGCTGCTGCGCTCTTACTCACAGCTGCCTCATCGCTCCGCATCCACAGCTGTGCTCTTCGACTGACACTGAGCAGAAGCCTTCCCTCCCGTGCGCATGCGGGTATGTTTGTGTGCATGTGAGAGGGTGGGAGAGAGAAACACTGACGATACTGCCTCTGCTTTGTCTGGCGAAAAGCTATGAAGGAGACGGGAATAAGAAGGCTGAGTTATATGAGGGGGCGGTAGGATATCAGTAATGAGGCGCGCTGTGCTTCGGCATGCCAACGATGAGCTCGTGCCAGATGGACGCGCATACACTGTCACATCTGCGCTCACAGAATAATGCAAAGTTCCAAAACGGATTAAACTGTCTAATTTGACCTGTGTCCTCTGCTGCTGTGTGGGAGGAAGGGGTGTCACGTAATCACTGTGCAATCGGAGGAAGCAGTTAGAAACAGATTCAAGATGCCCTCCTTGAACACATGAGAGGGTCGTTCCTTAGTGCTCAGGCTGTTTGCGGCCAGGCTTTAAAGAGAGGAAAGGCACACCTCCGTAAAACTCCAAAGTTTGAAATGGCAACCATCTCGGAATTTCATTGGAATTACGACATCATTTCGACATGGGCCAGAGGGACAATTAACTTTTCTTCTCCTCCTGTGTGCTTTCCCCCCACTTTGTCATGACATGGCATCGGGCAGACATTCAATGAGGCTCTGAAAGAACAATTTGTCACTGGCGAAAGCAGTGCACCGTAATGCCGAACCAATTAAGCCCAAGGTGAAATTCAATACAGCTCACATACCCCGTGGATAAAAGAGGAGGGCAGGAGCAAGTGTGTTTGTTGGAATTTGGCTGTTTGTGAGCGCGTCTAAGAAAAAGTGTCCAGCGAGAAAGCATTATGTTTGAGTGCCAAACATTTGCAACTGTGTGTGTAAAGTGAAAATATGACCTCCGTCTCTCTGCTAGTTTAAACACACGAGCAGGACCACAGAAGGGGCCTTGTTCTGCAAGCTCTGAAACGACTCCAAGGGGACAGAACACGACGCTAACTTAAATCCCCTAAAAGTCGAACGCAGGGTCAGTGAGAACAATATCCTGGTATAATTAGTGATCGACACCTGTGCCTGTGTGTAACAACGTATAGAAAGAGTGAGAGAGAATCGTTTCAGGCAGGAGTCATGACAGTAGACATGCAGAGAAAATTAGTCAGATGGATATAGAGAGAGCCGCAATAGATTTACAATCTTGTGTGTGATTAATGTGACCAATGTTGCCTTTCATTTGAGCAAAACAGGCCCCTGCCCCCATTCACAACCACCCAAACCCTCCATTTTGAGACCATCACGCCACCACCTTGCTAGTGTACCCCTCGCTCGTTTTATTGTGGCCATTTGAGCTCAAGTTACAAGCCAGGGGAGAGGTCAGCAGTGCACCCATCGATTGGTGACGCTCTGGTTGTATATGGCTGTGAATGAGCCAGACGTATCACAAGTCAACAGCCGCCGATGCGTTTAAGCTCCAACTTCATGTTGTCTTAAGCCACAAGTCCCCAGGAGCAGGACAGGTCAGGGAATTGCGGTCTTTCGGGGTGAGCGGATGTTTGTTTGGATCCCCGGAGTGGGTCAAAGAGTGGCGGAGTGTCTGTATATACATGCGTGTATGCATGTGGACTCGTGGTGGTCTGTCTGTGCAAAAGGAAATGGGGGTAAAGGGGATGGGGGACTAGACTTTTCTTGACGGAGCTTGAGGCATTTTCTGTACAGTCTGTAGTTTTTGCTATGAGCTAGGCCTTCAAAAACAGCGACGTGAGGTGAAAAGCTACATTTAGTCACGTCCAAAGTCCAACGCAGTCAGATTAAGAATTATTTTTGTAAGACAGGACATCATAGGCAGGTTCCGAGAAATTGAGCATTTTTCTCTTTCTGTTTCTTTTAAGCAACTCTGCTGTGTTGCGATGTTAGTGTATGTTGTCGCAAATAACTTCTAAGATGAATAAAGTTCTCGTTACCACACATACTGTACGCTGCCAGGACATTATTAGAAATAACACTTTGGCAAAAAAGCTGAAGCTTTACATCGGGCCACTGCCTTGGTCTTCACTATCAGTCCCATGTTCTCGTTGGTGTGCATATTTGTAAGATTAGCGGTGATGAGAACAACTGAAGCTAGCGAGGCGAACCACTATTCCTATCAAGAATCAGCTTATCTTCATATCTCTGAATCACAAACACGCGCACACACACACACACACACACACACACACACACACACACACACACACACACCCCGTGCTGCCTGTAATAACATTATTAAATACAACGTAAAGCATTAATTCATTGCCATTGTGCTGATCCTTCTATTGTGCATGCTTTGGCCACTAAGGGGAAGTTTAATCCAGAAACATGGTGACACGTAGAGATGGAGGAGATGGTCAAAACTCCTCAGTAAACTGTAGTAATATTATCAGTTTTTCACCGAGGATACAGAATATATGCCGTTGTGTATTGTTATATTGTCTGTCTACACATGTTGTTCCACCGTTTGTGTTCAAATATCCATTGCTGAAAGTGATTTGTGTGTCAAAACTCTATATTAAAACTGTTCTGTTTGCACTGTGAGTGAGGTTAGCATTTCTTTAGTGATTACCCTGTTTATTTTCCCGATGTATTATGCATGGGATCAAGAGTTCTTCTGACTTTACTGAATCAGTACAATTGAAAAAACACAATCAGTATTTTTGTGGGCTATCACAGTAATGGAAGTTGAACTTTAAAATATAAATGATTGATATTTACGGCTACAATGTTACAACAACAGTTACCACAACAAAGCAAGGAAGTTGTTTGCTCCAAAACAATTTGCTGAGTTGTGTTTCCTCATATCCTTGAGTTGAGACAACTAGCTCCGCAAACTCTTATTTCTTTGTTGTGAAATACGGGAGTGCCAATTTTCACAACAGCAAAACTTTAACAAAAAATAAATAAAATATAAAAATAGTATTGTTGAATTGCCCAACTTAAAATGTTATCAATGTTTGTTGCCTTGATTTTTTTTAACTGTGTACACAGTTTATTATTAAAAAAAAAATTGCCTATGACTAAACATCAACCCTTTGATTCACATTCCATTACTGAGAGATGTTGCGTGACCATGTAGTGCTCCAATAGACAGCACACTTCAGGATCCGCCACTTTCTATCCTGCTTATCTTCATTAAAATCAATCAGAGCTGAGCGAGAGGTGGTGTACACCTTGAACTGATCGCGCACCAAGCAGAAAAATAAAACAATCTCTTCGTCTCATAACATTGCTTGTGACACAAGCCAAAGATAAAGCAGAACACACAGCCCGGCCTCTATTTTCGCGCTCAGCACAGGTCTAGTGCAAAGCAGCGTCTAATTGTGTGCAAGGGTGGAGTTTTTTTCCATTTGGTATTTTCGCAGGTGAGCGCAGTTAGAAACGGGTGTTTGTGCCGTTGTGGACGTGAACACAGCCGACAAGCTTCCCGGTCAACGAGCGCGGCTCCTCTCATTCCCCTTAAAATCATCTTTGACGTTGCAGAAGCTGAAATAGACTCTCGGAAGTCCAAGACCAACCCATGCAAAGTACGAAACAAGCAGACTTCCCACGGCTGGAGGATGTAAAGTTGGCCAAGGCTATCACAGATTGCTGCTGTGAAGTGGGCACTTGGAGACTGCCTTCCAACCCCGATTGTTTGTGTCCATGTGTGACCAGTGCATCCTGATGTTACCTGCTGGTATCTCGTCTGATGAATGTTCACCTTATAGTTGTGTTTTCCTGAAAATATG